TATCCGTCCTTTATTTTAAAGGACAGTTCTTTATTTTAACCCCCTGTCGTTTATAATTTTTTTCAAAATTAAGGACGCTTTTTGTCCTTTATTTCTTAAACTGTCCTTTAAATCAGCTCTGCATTTTTCAGAGGTAAATTTTTAAACACAGAATATGAAAAATAAAAATGTTCCTTATAAAATATAATGGAAACCTTCGCCAGTTTGTTTCGCACCCCACTTGAGGGTTTCTATTTAATCGGTAATCTTTGCACAATCTATAAAGCACAGGGAAAGTTGTGCCCAGGATCGTGTTGCACGCTGAGTTTCCAGTTCCACTGAAAGAGAACAATGAATCCCCTGCTGTACAGTGGTTCTAAACTGGCATTTAATAATAATAATAATAATAATAGATTGGCGCTTACACATATGTTAGTGTTTGGCCGAGCTTCTCCTCCGATTCGTGGCGTGCGCCTTGATGTTGTCACAAAAAGCGGAGGGACCTACAATTTTACGCCGGCTCCGAACAGCGATTGTATTTTTATGAGAAGCTGTTTTTCATGGCAGAAAAACACTCGGAGGTTTGCCATTTCCTGCCGAGAGATGACCGCTGTTAAGAAAAAATCTTTTTTCTATATTTTTTTTGCGATGTTGCTTTGACCAGGGTTTGAACCCAGGTGCTTCGGAGTGGAAGCGCGCACTGCTTACCACTACGCCCCAGAGGCCGACACTGGAATTTAGTGTTCGTAATTCACTGGAGCCTTCATTTTTTCACTTAATTTGATATTTTTTTTTTATTAAAGCTTTGCAAGAGACCAGTTGAGCCTGATTTGTGAATTTTTATTTGATTATATTAATTTTTTTTGTGCCAAATGCAGAAAAAGTGGCAATTTAGAAGAAAATGTATTCTCCTGTTCCAGTTAATAAATGTTACATAACAAAGACTAGTTAAAACCAATTGTACGGTTCCCCAAATCGAAAAAATTACAAAAAAATATTTGAAATGTTATAAAAAAAGGTTCACAAAAATACATTTTTTTTTGGTTTTTAGTAAAAATTTATTAAAAAATGAAGACTGCGGTGAATTATGAACATTAAATCCCAATTTCGAACCACTGCGTGCTGAATTCGGAGAGCAGTATGAATTATGGTAAATGCATTTTGGCAGCAAAGGATGGCGGAGTCCTTGAAAAGGATTTGGCTTAATTTTTCGGAATCGGTTAATTAACTGGTAAATATTTGATTTAAATTACGATATGGGTAAGATAATTTTATCATATAAGTTGTATGCACATATTCCCGAATAATAAAAAAAAATGTCCTTTATTTTACATTGTTTAATATGGTCACCGTAGGTATGTATGAATGTGGTGTATGGCAAATCCAGGTAAACGAGCAGGGGTCGTATCCAAGGCAATATTGGTGGAAGCTATACAAGATGCTCCGTACGCTGAGAGGCAGATGGTGAGTGTGGATATATGACTGCCGATTTCGTTCGGTCGGACACACGTGATTCACCGCGCTGGGCACGGTTTTGTTGGAAGCCTTACTCGGAGTACTACCGACACTCTGAGCTACCTTTAGAAGATTTAGAGCTGCTACAACGCAGTAATCACCTAAATGATATCAAGTTTTTACCAAATACTCGATTTACTAATATTACTATGTAGGTTCTCCTACCATAAAAATGATTTTGCATGAGTTTTAGGTTCCTTAGTTAATATACCAGTCAAATAAATGGGGACCGCAATAACTGAGCTGGAGTCCACACAGAGACTCCGGAACTCAAGGTACACGTGTCCACGAAAGTCCCTTTTGTTGCTCTGGCACGTGGCCGATGATTTTAAGATTTACTTTTTATTTAAACATTTACCTTTTTATTTTTTTCAAAATGTTTAACTTAAGGTGATACTAAAAAACTTTCGCGACTGAATTCCGATATTCTTTACTTTAAAAACAAGAAAGATTCAATTTATAAGTCTCGATTATTATATTCACTATTATAGGCCTAATTTTTCGTAGTGCTTGCTGTCGATCTCAAGAGGAAATGGAAGAGAGAAATTTTCTGACAGGGAATGAAGGCTCTACCATGATAACAACATAGCAAGGTCGAATCGTTCTCTCAATTTGTCGGCCATGATTTTTTTTGAAGTTTGCCAACATTTTAAAATCATATAAAAGTGAAAATGAAAAATTGAAATTGTTCGAAATTGTTGTTGCTTAAGATTGAAAATGAAAATGTGTGCGAGAGTTTGTGAGTAAATTAAAAAATTAAATTGTTTGGAAACATCAAGAATTTTAAAAGTGACTCTCAGCGGTTCTACCTTACTATATTTTTATCATGGGCTCTACTTAGTTGAGTGCTCCCGTCAATTTATGTTTCAGTGTTCGATAGCGCAGAAAAATATTTGTGCTCTTCATAGACAGAACTGTCGGCAGAGATGTTATATCGTTTTGAATTTCGAAATATTTTGTTAACCAAAAAAAAGAAACTCTAACTATTACCGAAACCAACTTTTAGGAGAACAATAAACTGTAAAAAGTAACGCTATAACGGCCACGCCTCAAACAGGCCTCACAAAACAGGTTTTAAAAATATAGA